CTAGTTGGTTTAAGAACACTATGAAAAGCAATGACCAGAAAAGACTTGTCCTACCCCCGATCCTACTAAAATGGATAAAATAAAGCACGTATATCAATCAACACAGGAATGAAATCTGTCATATTAGACTACTACGCTATCCGTAAGATAGCCCATGGTTCATATACTGCTACCTCTAACTTCTTATTCTAAAGAAGTATGTAGGTTATTATTGTTTTTTCCAGGTAGAATTTGCAATGCTTAGGAGAGAGCACAGAAATAAAGATCACTTATTAAAGTGTTAACTAGTACTCTACTGCTTAATCTAGCAACATAAAAAAGGGGTTCTCCCTGGTGGCCTATGGGATAAGTCTCAGTGCTATTAACTCCAAGGTCTGGGTTTGATTCCCTGCCAGGCAACTAACCCACATTTGGCTCATCAAATCTCTCCTGTTTTCACCTGCTGCTCCCCTTAGCAGTGTTATTTCGATTGATCTTCCTGTTCTGCTCCCCACTCTGTCCCTGGTGAATTCACTCACCCCTTGCACCTCTGGCCTGTATCCCAGCTCTGTATATATCAATAAACAAATCTTTAAAAATATATATTTATAAATCTCTAATATTTGGGGGAATAATCAATATTAAACTGAATATGAGATTATTTTACATTGGTGACCAATTCACAAACTGCTAATATAGCCATTTAATTTGTTAATTATAAATGCATACTAAGCCAAATCACCAAGCTAAAGATACATAATTTGATAATCCATTCTCAGAAGCATATATACAAACCTTTTTCTTTTTTTAATACACAATAAAAAGTTTTTTGTCAAAGTACAGCCTGTGCAAAGCACTCTATGTCTCTAGCCCCTCATCAAAACACACACGCACACACTTTTCTTACTTCTACCACTATTTAATAAATAGGGTGATGTATATAACTTGAAATGCTACATTACAAACCCATATGAGAAATACCTAGCTGAGAGCAAGTTCTTAGATCTTTATGAGTTATAAAATTAGAGTTTTTAATTATATGTACATCTGAATATGAACTAAATTTGGCATACAAACATTTTAGATAACAGATATCTCTGGAAAGACTACTCCACTTTGCTGTACAATTAAAGAAATTCTATCATATCGTAGTGACCAAAATGTAATGCATGAGCAAAAATAGTAAGTCAATAATTGTTTTTACTTCTCTCAGATAGTAGTAAGCATTTTGAAAAATACCATATGCTTTGGGGGGCCCTAAGTATATCTTAGAGAAAAAATTCTAAAAATTCTGTTTTTACAATGTAATTTTGCTTTATATAAGCACTAACAAAAGCTACCAAATATTGACATTGGAAATGTACATCACTCCAACTCTCAATAATTAAAAGGGGCTGATAAAATAGATTTGCTTACCAATAATGTCAAAGTAAATGTCCTTCAATCATTGATATATCAAATACATATCAAATAATGTCAAAAAAGAACAAAAAATCAAATACCTAAGAATGAAAGTAATGAAACAATGCTATCAACAATTTCACAAAACACTAGTGAAAGAAATTAAATAAGATTTACATAAAGATACACCAGGTCATGAAAGGGAACAGTCCATACTATAAAAGTGTCAGTCTTTCTGGGCCTTCCCTGGTGGCCCAGCAGATTAAAGCACAGCACTAAGAAGCTAAAGCCACTTCAGCATGAGTACGATCCCCACCTCGGAGGTGATCCACATGGTGTGGCAGCGTGGCAGACCTCTCCTAACCCACCCACTGCTCCCCTTAGCAGTATATTTCAGTACACCTGCCTATTATGCTCCCCACTCTGTCTCTGGTGTGTCCTTTCACCCCTTGTACCTCTGGCCTGTACAGAAGTTCTGTATTTACAAATAAATAAATCTTAAAAAAAAAAGTTAGTCTTTCCAAATTGAAGTACAGCATCAATGTAATCAAAATAGAAATTCCAGTAAGAATTTTTGGTGAAAATTTACAGGCTTCATGAAAATGCAAATAACCAAAAATAGCCCAAGTAAAAAGGTAGTAAAAAACAAAAATAAAATATAAAATATAATCCAAATAAACTACCCATTTTTAGTACAGAACAGTCCTTTCTTTAAAAAAAAAAGATTTATTTATTTATGCATACAGAAATGTGGTACAGGCCAGAGGCGCAGGGACAGTGAAAGAATACTCAACAGAGACAGAGTGGGAGAGCAAGACAGGCAGACTGATGAAGTACACTGCTGAGGAGAGCAGCAGGCAGGTCAGAAGAGGTCTGCCTCATCATGTGGGTCACTTCCCTGGCCTGGGGTCCAACTAGGGGCTGAAGCAGCTGAGACTAGCTTCTTAGTGCTGCACTTTAACACGTTGCACCACCAGAGAGGTCCCCAGAACAATTATTTTCTAGTACGAGTTACCCATGTGTTAAATGTTCACCTGTCTTAGGATATTATTTCCTGCACCAGGTTTTTATAAATAAAGCAACTGCGAACAACAATAAATAGCCTGAACTAATGCTGCAGAGCAAAACTGAAGCATTTACATTACCATGTAGCAAGTAGTGATGGAGCCTGGTAATTATGACAATTTAGGGAAAAGAACTGACTAAAAGGCCAATGAATGTCTAGAAAAGACCCAGAATTAATTAGTCCCCTGATTTATGACAAAACTAACACACGCATACACTCTTCAGAATCAACTTTATCAATGAGGTGATCTTTTAGCAGATTAAGAGAAAATAAGAAGTGAGCAATAGTGGGGAAAGAGTGGTCACTTCAGGGCCTTCCCTGGTAGCACAGCAGGTTAAAGCACAGCACTATGAAACTATCCATAGCCACTGCAGCACAAGTTCAATCCCCTGGCCAGGAAGGTGACCCACATGGTCCAGCAGACCTCTCCAATCTCTCCTGTCTCACCCACTGCTCCCCTCAGCAGTGTACTTCATGTATCTACCTGTTCTGCTCCCCACTGTCTCTGGTGAATCCCCTCACTACCCCTGCACCTCTGACCTGTACCCCAGTTCTGTATGCATAAATAAATGTTTGGGGAAAAAAATACTGCTGAGACTGCAAGCATAAAGAGAAAAATGATGGCAAACAAGGCTTGCATGAGGATCTTAAGGGTCTGGTATTCCACAGTAATGAAACTAGATTCACCTATAATTAGAAGTCACTGAAAGTTTTGCTCTAATTTTCCTTGTTGATTGTTTTGAGATATAATGCACAAACGAGCATAAATTTGTTTGGGAAAATCAGGGTTTTAGAAGGGAAGCTTGAACTGCCCCAAGGAAAACTTATTGTCCAGCATCCTGACTTCCCTGTTGGCTGGGAGCCTCACGACTATGTCCCTAGTACACAACCCAGGGTAGAAGTAAAATAAATACCTACTGATAGTAAAAACACTGAAATTGTCCCATTAACAGATATAGGTCTAAACTATAGAAGAAACCAAGAAAAATGAGGAAGGACAGCTCAAATTTTTTAAAATAAGTGACCCTAGAAGTGTGAGAGAAAACCATTGATGATGACTGAATTTTCCAATATGGGTGACCATCTATACAGATGTAAACCACTGAGTCAAATATATAATGCAGGCTTAAGAAGGAGCAGGCTTAAGAAAGAATATATTTACTAATACAAAAATTTTAGAGACAGGAAAATGAGCCAATGATATCACTGCAGTTACAAATGAGAAACTTTCAAGGCAGACTCCTCACTAAAGACGCTGCTAGGTATTTTTGGATATATAGTTGTAAATTGCTAAAATATTATGCATAGGATTTGGATCTCTCCTACATGTGTGAAATTATTTGATGAAGAGAAGTTATTCATAGCAATAAGGTTTATAATAACAAAATTTTTTGAAACACCTTAAATGTACATCAATATATGATTGGCTCAATGTCTGATTTCTTACTTGTAATGACTCAATCAAAAAGGTTTGCATTTTTGGAAAGGTAATTGAAGTCAAGAAATTGAAAGGGGGGAAGCCTCCCTGGTGGTGCTAGGGGTTAAACTGCAGCACTATGAAGCTATCCACAGCCATTGTAGCTTGATCCCCAGCCAGGGAGCTTGATCCCCAGCCAGGGAGCTCACCCACAAGGCACAGCAGACCTCTGTCTTGCCCACTGCTCCCCTCAGCAGTGTATTTCAAGCAGAGCTGTCTGTTCTGCTCCCCACTCTATCTCTAGTGAATCCTTTCACCCCTAGCACTTCTGGCCTATACCCCAATTCTTAAATGCATAAATAAATAAACCTTTTAAAAAATAGAAAAGAATTTCAGTTCATAATATTTTAAAATTAATTTATTCTATGATAACTTTTTTCATAGTACGCACAAAATAAAATGAGTGATCTAAAAATCACAAATGCCATAGTTGGTGGGTATTTTAAAGGTTTGAAAAGCAAGTTGAAGTTTTAACTAAGCGGCATAAAATCCTTCAAGAAAATCTAAATCTTTCAAAGAAAATCTAATGTTTATGTATTAGTTCAGAGTTTATAAAACATTAATTTCCAATTACCACTTAATCCCAGCAACCCTGTGAGTTACAAAGAACAGGTGCAAATAACCCAAGTTGAGGAAAGTCCTATTATTTTTATACTCCAAGGCAGTCTAAAGATGCAGAATCTGATTCAAGAGAAAATAAGTTTAATCCCTCTGGTTTCTCTGGCTGCAAGGGAACTAAATTTGTGTCACTATGAATTTTAAAATCTGTGACATCTCAAAAAGACACACAACTAGCCAAATGAGGCACAGAAGAAATCTTAGTCAAACCATATTTTATGCAAGTTTCTTATATTGCCAACAAATCTTCTAATGGAAACGTGTGTTCTAGTTTTCTGAGATAAATTCTAAAAATAAGCTAATCTATGGCCACGCTAGTCACACTTGAAGTAGGTTCACAAATTCTTAGAATTAGCTGTGTAACCATTTATGAAAGTAAAAGGGGTGGAATACTGAAATGAATTGCCTCCACCCAGATCACTGTCTGAGGTGTCGCAGGGGTGTCCCACACATCCTTACCTCCAAAGGAACAGTGGCAGGTGGCTTCTTTTTCAGTTCCTCACATTTCCTCTTCTTGCAGATCTGATGGCTGTTCTTTCTGTTCTTGCAGTAAGTACATTCACCACAGTTGGTCTTCTGCTGGCAGGGTGCACAGACACCACATCGCTTTCTTTTCTTCTTTTCCGAAGCAGGTTGCAAAGTTTTATGGGAAGAAGTGGTGCTGGCAGCAGAAACTGGCCTGGACACAACAGTGGTGTGGATGGGGCTGGCAGTGCTGAGCTGGGAGCTCACGCCTTCCGATTTGCTGGGACCAGCCTGGCAGACCTGGGCAATGCCTTGTGAAGCCTGATAGTTTCCTCTGTCAGCGGCTGATGTGAACCCCTGAGTATTCACTGGCAGAAAGCTTTTATGAACCTGTTTCTCATTTTCTTTATTGCTGAGAGCCATCCCTGGAAGTCCCAAGCTTATCTCTGAGTCTGATGGTGGCTGAGGGGTGTGGCCTGAGACCAAAGGCAACATCTGCATAGCACCCTGGACATCAAGCCCATATGAAAAAGTGCTCTGGGATTCAGGCCACTCTGAGAGAGCATTAAAGGTAGCCATTGGGTTGAGAGGGGCAGGAAGAAAGATAGGTGAGTCTGAGGCAGTACCACTAGCCACGCCAAGGATTTGTTGATTTAGGATAGCACCAAAGACCTCTCCTTGGACTGAAAGAGCCCCAGGAACCTCTGGTGGGTGTGGGGTCTCACCCGGAGCCGTTGCATGAACTGTGTTAGCACCAGGAACCTCCCATTGATGTGGGATAGCACTAAAGGCCTGTTCTAGGACAGGAGTGACATCAGGAACTTCCTGTGGATCTGGGGTAGCTTTAAGCACCTCTTGATGATCTGGTTTAGCGCCCAGGGTTTCTTGTTCTGAGCCTGCCAAGAGGAATTTTATTAATGAGGTAGGATATATTGACCCACCAATGGACAAACAGTTTCTAAGGTCAAATTCAGGTATAACCTTATTAAAGCTGGAGGTGGGGCAGCAACTCTGTTCACTTTTGATAGGATCCAGGTAAGAATCAGATAGCTTAAGAGATTCTACTCGTGAACCTAAATCTTCTAACTGAATGTTGGGATTTCCTTCAGAGGTAACCTTGAGGGCTGCTCTTTGGAGCAAAGGAGCACATTGGGTGTCCTGAGCAAATATTCGAGGGGATTCGCTGTCATTCAATGTCTCTTTAGATAATGACTCTTCACCACCATGTGTCCCTCCCAAAGACCCAGAAAGAATTTCTGTCTCAGGGACACAGTGATTGGGGGCATTAATTTTGGAATCCTCGGCCCTTTGGGACCAAGATTGGATTGTCTCTTGGCTCTCACCTTTAATTAAAGATGTATTTTGTACATCGATTAGATTATCTATGTTAGGAGGGATTAGGGGGTCTTGCACTGACACCGAATTATTTTCTGAATGCTTTACTCCCATGTCGCTTAATACCTTATGTTCACATTCATGTCGCTTTTCTAAATTCTTAGACGGTGGAACTTTCTTGGGTTTGGCTATGACCACAGGAGGTTGGGAGAGCCGCCTGCTAAGGGAGGTACTTCGGAGAGCCATTGTAAACCCATTGCAAGTTAAGGACTCTGGGTTCTGAAAAAGAACCTCTGTCCTGTCCAAATTCATCCGTGCTGCTCCAGCTCGTGTCAGAAGGCTTCTGACTGGCACTGGTGGTTTGGGTTCTGTTTTTTTCTTAACATCTCTTTCTTTCATTACTTGCTTTAATTTTCCAGGGTTCACAGTCTTTACTGATGCCACATTTTTGCTGGCTGGCTTGGATGTCTTCTTCATTTGGCTGTTTTTCTTTTTGCTTAGATCTTCCTTTCTGACTAACCTGGAAGGCCTTGCATGGCGGGATCGAGACATTGTGACAGAGTAGGAAAAAATGAAAGGGCACGGGGAACAGAATCATTGGTCCTTTGGAAAGACTCACTGTTGAGGAGAATCTGGATGTGCCATTGTTGCCCTCAGTCACACAAAGTTTTGTTCTGAAACAATAATAACAAAAAAACTAAAGTGAGTATTTTTTTTCCTATGCATTGTGCCACTTAAGATAGAACAATTATTAATTAAAATTAGGGAACTGAGAATGTTAACTAGCAAAAAACAATATGATAACAAACAATGCTCAAGTATAGTGTAAAGCCTCTGTTCACAATAAAGTTCCTTTAATCACCATGACAACTGATTAGCTTCTTTGAGTAAATATGGTTTCCTTAAGGAATTTATGTAGTTACCTGTAGTTTAAAACTCAAGTACCAAACTTTACAAATGTGAATACTTAAAATATTATCCCTAAACTCTTTCCTCAGCACATTCCTGTAAAGCTGAAAAAGTCAGAGGAAGAAGAGTTAACAGAATCCAAGAAGCTCTATTTTTTAGCAATCCAATACAATTAATCACATTCCAGTTAACAAGCCACAAAATTTGAGCTTTTCACATGCACACACAAAATAGCTTAAAATCTTGAGTTAGTATTGACAGATTAAATTACAAATAAGGGTCCTCCCTGGTGGCGTGATGGGGTAAGTGCAAACACTATAAAGCTGTCCACAGCCACTGCATTGCACACAAATTGGATCCCCGGCCCGGAGGTGACCCACATGGCATGGCGGGCCTCTCCTGACCCTCCCGCTGCTCCCCTCAGCAGCTGGTCCTACAATCCCTCCTACCAAGGGCCCCAAAGTCTCATGATGAATTCCAAGGCAAGGAAAGTGGGAATAAAGACAAAAGATAATTAGAACAGTAAAATACCAGATAAGCAATTACTGTTTGAAAGTGGAGAAAATGAGAGGAACTGACCAAGAACCCTCATCAGTTGCCTTTTTAATCTCTTCAGACTGCCTGTCCTGAACCAAAAATAAGATCAATCTTTGAGCAAGAATGATGCTCATCAAACAAAATGTTATCAACTGACTCTCTAAAGATCACAGAATTAAAAGTCTGACAACAGGCTGGCTGATGGTTCTTTAATGGTCAATAGGAGGTTGCTTTTGGAGAAAACACAGTGGAGAGAGTCAGAGGAGGAGCTTATAGAATCAGACCAGAAAGACCATGTGATCTACAGGCTATGGCAAAATGAGAAAAAACGAGACAGTGTAAAAGTTTTCATGAAATTGCACTTATTCATTTTATCTATTTATGTATTTTTAAATGACTTTGTCTTTTTTTAAGATTTTTATTAATTTATAAATACAAGAACTGGGGTACAGGCCAGAGGGGTGAGGTGAGAAAATTCACCAGAGACAGAGTGGAAAACAGAACAGGCAGATCTACTGAAATATACTGCTGAGGGGAGCAGCAGATGGGTCAGGAGAGGTCTGCCGTGCCATATGCGTCAAATCCCTGGCAGCAGTGGTTGCTGATAACTTCCTTAACTCTGTGCTTTAACTCCTTGCACCACCAAGGGGGGCCCCAACTTATTCATTTTAAACAATTGTTATTCTTTCATTAAAATGTCCTTTCCCAAATTAAGTAGTAAAAGATAGGGATAGACTTGGTTTTAATATTATTTACTTAGTAAAGTAAAAAATTGCCAGCCCGCACGGGACTATGGTGGTGGCACAGGGGTGATTTGGTGATGGGAAACCCGTGGGGATTACAACTGAGATGAAAAAAAAATGTGCAAAATGATGTAAAAATAAACTTTTTAATAAAAAAAAATTGCCAGCCCTCTATCATTCTCAAACTTTACTTTTGATTTTATGGGTGATCTGCACCAGCTAATCCTGGGAGCTTATGTATAATTAAGAGGTTAATGTAGCCTCACATAAGAAAATATTGCATTTGAACCTCTGATCACCAGATATGTCCCTCAGCAAACTAGTTAAATGAATCAAGAATGAGGTTGCAGAACCTCCATGTTGACACAGGGATTAAAGTCTCAGCAATATCAAGCTGTTACTGCAGTACAAGTTCCATTCCATCAAGGGAGCTGACCCACATGGCTCAACAGACCTCTCCTGTCTCACAGCTGCTCCCCACAGCAGTGTATTTCAATAGATCTGCCTGTTCTGCTCCTACTCTACCCACATCTGCCCCCTCCCCAGCCCCAACCCTGCACCTCTTGTATGCAAATAAAAATAAATCTTTTAAAAAAAAAGAGATTGCTTTGAGGTATCAATGGCTTCCTACAGGAAAGTATAGTTCCACTATTATGACCTCTGAGGTTGGAGGATAGAGAGGAAATAGGAAAGAATGACTTCACACTTAGGCAAACCTGGACTAGCTCAGAAATAATACTAGCTATGTGATTTTCACAAGTTCCTTGGTCTCCCTACACATCAGTTTCTTTATGTATAGTAGAATAGGAAGCATAAGAATATTGACTTCAATGCACTAAAAGATTGAGATAATACTTCTATAAGCTTAGCAGAGGACTAGTATGGTTTTTAATACTAGGCAGCTAAAAAAAGCTTTCTATAACTTCAAAAAAGAGAATATAAATGCGAGTTATTATTATATAGCCAGTTTAACCCATAATCTGCCACAACTGCAAAAGCATTATCTAGTTAATTTCTATTCTCACCAAACACACTGTTTAAAACACAGTATAATAAAGGATCCCAGAGTACATTTAGGGTCAGAATATTGTACCTCGAAGGCTTTTAAAATAGATATTTGTGATAACATTAACCACAAGAAAAATAACATTTTGATAAATCTGTGCTAAATACAAACACTAAGTCGAGAATACTTCATTTGAGTTCTTGGCATGGAAGTATACTGCGTTCTCTCCTTTTCTTAAAAAAATATTTTGGTTTAGTAACTCTTTGGCTATTAAAAACTGAAGAATGTTTTCTCCAAAGACCAATGCTTTTTGTACAAGCATTTAGAAAACAAAAGACATTCTTATTCTAATCTCTAGAAAATCAGTAATCTTTGTGAGGATTTTTTCCCCAGATGTTAAAACGCAATCCATTCCTTTTCCTAGAAATTCAACATTATCAATATAAATATTCTTTATCTCTTATATCAAGCTTATGTTGCTTTAAAAAAATATTAAGGATATATAGTCTGGATGTAGTAATCAACTACAAAAATTAAAATTCATATATGTAGGCAAGTAATCTGGATATGCCAGACGGTGTCATGGGATCTGCTTTTGACAGTAATTTTTAAATTGATCTCTGTCTCTTATATATTCTTTTATATTTTCAAATTGAAGTGCTTTAGAAATTCAGACTTGTAATTAAGATAATGTTTACTATTCAAACCTTATCTCCTAGAAAAAAGACTGCCAAGGAAATAGAAAAGGTATGAGCAACATGGATTGGGAAGATGTGGCCTCTTTAAATGGTAACAGTCTTTTTATGAGATTGTGAAAAAGGCAAATGACCTCTGAAGAACCCAACTGCAGGGGAGAAACCACTGGGTACCACCCAGCCAAAGAAGCAGAGATAATCAGAAACAAAATAGGGGCTCCCACAAGATCCTAATTTTATCACCCTGGACTCCACTGATGAAATGTAATCTTTTGTTATAAACTAAGTTGTCCCCAAGGGCTGAACTGTTGGGAGACAGGCAGCAACCTTTTTTTTTTTCCAATTTGTGTAGGAAAAAAAGATAATGAAATGCATTCTGTTAAGTAGGTCCAATTTAAATATGTAATTATCCTCAAAGACCTATAGAATTTTATTTGTCATATTACTTTTAACACTCAATTTCTTTTTCATGCTTTCAGCTGTTACTGAATCTCTATGCCACACAAAAAGGTATATTTACCACTGAACACCAATTCCATATCCATTTTTCCTTCCTGATTAAACTGACATTTCAGTATTTCTCAAAATAGGTTTTTTCTACCTTAGGCTTTTTTCAAGATTCCAAATGCCAAAGAAATAGCATTACATGATTAGAGAAGAGAATAGTGGCCCTTCTATTAAACAGGCCAGGAAGAACATTATGCAATTAATTGACACTATACCCTAAGTTCTCCTTCCCCTGGAAAACAACAAAAACCCAACAACTATGGGATATGAAACATTTCTATGGGATAAGTCTTTTCACCAGATTCAAACACAGGAGATAAGAGACCAACTCATAATCTGAAACACAAAGACACAATGCCACCCCAGAAGTAGAGAACATAAGGTTAAGGACACAGTAGGCGAAGGGGCAAAGAATAGGCCCCAGGGTGAACTCGCTATCTAGCCTTGTGTAAAACTCAGCTAATAATTCACATATAATTAAACTGTCAAAATTGGTCAACAAGATCAGAAATCTTGCCCCAATATTACTGAGTCTTTCCTATAAAGAACTTGTTTTATTTTACATTATTGAATCACCTTGCTTAGAAAATGAAGTCAACTCCCTAAAATCTATCAGCTGTCTGTAAAAGATATTATTGACAGAACCAAATCAGAAAACCTTTTCCCACCTTCCCTCCTCCTGTTTCCCCCAAAATCCCATGGCTGAATTGAAGTAACCATCCAGCCCGTATATCAATTTAAAATTACATTGCAATCCTCCCCACTACCAGCAGTTTCCAAAAAGGTGGTATCTGCATACTACAGCTAGCTGCAAAACTAACTCCAATTTCAGTCACTCCACTCAGCTCCTTAGAATTTAAAGGCAAATTGCCCTTGACTGAGAAATACAAGACTTAAAACACTTCTTTTTAAAAGGCACCACCTGGCTCCGTTTCTACCAGCAGCTAAGTTCTACATCTAAGAGGAAGAGGAGGTGGGCGGGTAGCTTGCTGTTCCTAGATAGTTTTCTACCACAGGAAGTTTAAGAGCCCTCCGCACATGGAAAGGCTGTTCAGAGAAACTCTCCAGAATGCCAGCAGACTTAATCAAAGCCTCCTTCCATATGTAAAACACTCCTGCTGCCCTGCAGAGAGCAAGAAAAAACGACCCAAAGCG